TGCACTGGTGGCCGTTTGGCTAGCTTCACTTATAACGAATTTGGTACCACGGAACGTGAATGAATGACGAAGGTATGATACTGGAGCAAACATGACAAACATCAGATGCGTGTCATTTAACAACATGACTACACGCTAAGCTCATGAAGCACTCACCACCGTTTCGCAAGCTTCTCATGTACTAAATTCAATATTACTAGGCGCGAATGGACTACGTAGGTAAATGACACATCCAAACGTGACAATCACGACATGTGTCACGTAACAACATGACTACATGACACACTCATGATGCGCTTGTGGCCGTTTAACTGGCTTCACATATGCCAAATTTGGTATTACGTGATGTCAATGAAGGACAAATGTATGTGACTGGTGCAAACATCATCATCATGAGATGCGTGTCATGTGAGAACAAGACTACATGCCACAGTCAAGGCGCCAATACATTTCGACCTGACGCGGTGCGCGCGCTTTCCGGCGTTCATTTTGTCGCGTCACGCTGGCGTTGCCTCGCCAGGCGCCGGTCCTGCTTATGCTCGCAGGCGCATGCCGCACTGCATTGCTTTGACGCATGCACGTTTCAGCGCGTTTAGCGTCCTTCCGTCACAATAGGAGGGCGGCGCAGTGGTGAACAACCGTGAAGCTCAGCTTCACCGTTGTTCAGCAGATGTTTGGCTACTTCTCAGAGGTAAAAGTTGGCGCGGCCTTGTTTGTCGTTGTCGTCCCACTTCATACTCACGCTTACTCGTTTATACAAAGAAAGCCAGTTCGTGACGTCCTGCTCATCAGTACCACTGAAGATGACTGGATCTTGCTCGCTTGCCACGCTGGGACAGCGGGCAGGTGGATATGTAAGAGCGGTCTGCTGTGCAGCGTCGGTAAACATCGTTGATGGCAGAGGTAGAGTCCAGTTGCGGAGTTCTACGCTTAGAAAGGAACCCAGCACTCTCCATCACTTGATGGCTAGCCTTTAGTGGTGAACCGGAAACACGTTTATTATAAAAATGACCGAGCTAAAAATCGAACAGCTGTGAAGCAGAGCGAGCTCGAACAGCAACAAAACAACCATCTTCATTCTTTTCTTTGGAAAGCTGGCACTCCTACCTGTATCATATATTCAGAATAGCTTTGAGAATGATCTGAAATCAGGGTTGGCTTCTTACTCAAAAAAGAGCGATGATGCTAAGGCAATGAAGATTTATACATTTATGAAAAGAGCCTAAAAAAGAGCAGACTGGACTATTGAGTCTACGAAGAGAGCATATAGCCCTTGATGGAATGATGAATGCACAAAACTCTACCGAAGACGTCCGGCAGATCGGAACCAGCTCTTACATAATCACTGCCCCCAAAATTTGGCAGATTATATATTTCTTGAAGTTGGCTTTAGGCGAATGGCAGCTGAAGCTAAACAAAAATATGACCTAAGGCGTTACGGATACCTGGCGAAGCCTAAACAAATGAAAGCACTGTTGCGATACCGGACAGCTTGGAAATTTTTGCCATCACCAGTAAATGCAGCTTATAAAAATCTGTCGGCGCAAAAAATGACATCTTTAGAGACAATGGCTTAATGTCTGGAAAGCAGATTTACCTCAGTTGTGCCAAACAACTGGCACACGTTTGCGACAATCACTGATTTTGACGAAGCGACACAGACTGAAGCATGCAACGTGTATAGATATTTACCCTTTGCGGCTCCCTGATGAAATCAGTTTTCATGACTAAAACTCTGTTCAATTTATCGCTTCGTGAAGTCACCAGTTATAGAAAGTACTCCCTAAAAAACTCATGGGTTACGTGGGATTGGAGGATTGTGAAGGTGATTTTTATACTAAAAAATCCAGGATTAGGATGTACAGTACTTCATATCAGGCCCATCTTTCTAACCTCTAACATGGTCAAACTAGTAAAGAGGGTCTTACATGGCAGGATTAGTACCTAGATGACAGATAACTTAGTAGTAAAGCCGAACCAAATTGGTTTTGGTGGTGATTGTTGTATGTGGTGTACCCAGGCTGACTCAGAGAGCCAAATTTAGCTTGCTTGAAAAAGAAGAGAATACAATACGTTAGTAATGCTTGGCATAGCCAAAGCTTATAAAAGTGTGGAACACCAGTTCATTGAATACGCTAATCAGAATAAGTTTTTCACAATGTTTTATTGAGAGGGCTATAGAAGTTTTTTGATCAATACAATTCTACTCTAGTAAGGACGAATGTTACTCACTTAAATTCAAACACGCGGTGTTCACCAAGGAGCAGTGTTAACTCAAGTATCATTCAAAGCCTTAATTAGCACGATTTCAAGAAAAGAGGAAGTTACTGTCTACATTTAGGCTGATGAGAATGCATTCTTCACTGCTGACTGCGATATTTACTCACTGCAACTTAAATTGCAAAAGTACTATTATATGTTACAAATTTTACTGCAGTCGATTGTATATTCGTTAAATGTAAGCAAAGGTGCACTCTCGGGGTTTCCACTTGCAGACTCAGTTTGAATTTTAGTACAATACGAACAGAAACCCATTCAGCAAGTAGACTGTATAAAATATCCGGAAATCGTTTATAATAAAAACTTAAGTGGAGCCCCCACATAGAGTATATAGCTGCCTAGGCACAACGGGCCCCAGGATTACTGCACAAGCTGTGTAACTGTAAATTCGTGTTACTGAGGCGCACCTTGATAATATTGTACAAAAAGTACATGCGCCCAATCTTAGAATTCGGATGTACACAATTTTTGAGCGGCCCTGCTTACAAAAGCAAACCTCTGGTTTGCTTGGAGCGAGAAGAACTGCAAACCTTTTTGAGACTCCCCATGTTTGGTGCTAACCCTCTACTGTACCAGAAAGCGCACCAGCCTACACTACTTTGTTGATTTCGCACTTTGACAGTACAAGCTTTTTTTACGTGATAGCGTACCGACGATAGCCCCGACATGGTGATCTAGTGGCTAAGGTACTCGGCTTCTCGCCTACAGGTCGCGGGATTGAATCCCGGCTGCGACAGCGGCATTTTGATGGAAGTGAGAATGTTTGTGTCCCGTGTGCACATAATTGGGTACCCGTTAAAGAACCCAAGGTGGTCAAAATTTCCGAAGTCCTTTGTTGCGGCATCTCTCGCAATCATATATGGCGGTCTTGAGACAATAGACACCACACGTCAATTCATAAGCTTACCGGCAAAAATCTCAATATGCTTTTATCTCAGACACAGAGGCCCTCTTTCTTTCTCATTGGCCATGGTTTCACACAACCAAGATACTGTTTCTTCAAAGGAAAAAGAAGCAAAGTATAGATGTGAACATTAGAAATGTAATTGCGATTATTTACTCCAAATTCAATTTTTTGATTGATTATGATGATATTTGCCCCCAAAGCCAAGTTCCAGCCCCTTACTTCTTTAAATAGCATATTACGAGATTACCTGGTGCATGAAGAAACAAATATTACTCTAGCCACAGATGCTTCAGTGAAAGGCAGGCGTAGGCATTGCTTTTGATTTCCTTGTCTGGTCGTTCTCAATGCGACTGCCTGATTTTACTCAAGTTCTTGAAGCTGAGCTCATGGCAGTAATTTTAGCTCGTCAAAAACTTCCGTCAGATCAAAACAGCTCATTCATAATGACAGGTTACCTTCGACTTTGTGCAGATCCGGCAGCGTCTGACAACTCTCGAACTGTAAACACATTTTGAACATTAGCACCGCCGCAGCTGGGACAGTTGAGATTACTATGGGTTCTACGACAATGCATACAAATAATGAATGAAGTGGCAGATTTCTTAGCACAAGGCGCACTTCATGACCCAATAGTATTAGTACTGCAGGAAGTTGAGTGAATAACTGCAAGAAGGTATAAAAAATCAGCAATCTGCACAGATATGACAGAAACAATAACTACATGGATAGAATATGCCCACCTTAACTTTTCATGGTGACCGCAGTGGAGTTAGTCCAAAAAGCTCAAAGTTTTGATGACTAGATTGCGATGCCTTTTCTCCCTCCTAATGAATATTTACACAGCGCTGATCACATGATATCACACCTCTGTGCATTGTACGGCGAAATATAAACAAGTAATTCCATTTTTTTTTTCTTGTCGCATATACGATATACTTAGAAAAAAAAGCTTCTGGATATTTCCTTTCTTATGATACATGTTAGATTGACAGCGGAAACTACTGAACTTTGGTGCCTCAGTTTTGGTACATGGCCACAAGGATGCTATCAATGCTGTTTGGGGTTTTATTCACGCATCACAATATATTCAATTTTAATTATCAATCTAATTATTACTATTGTGTATAATAAAAAAGTGTTTTCACAGAGATTCATAATAGTTAGGTGAGGTAAAGGCAGCTGTGTGGTTATCTAAAAACCGAAAATGTCAAAATCTTAGAACTTAATTATAAATTTTCCCTTTTTTTCTCTCTTCTCTGTAAATTTTCTTACATTTGTTATATTTTCGTACAAAATCATTCTTACACATAGTTGCAATACTCACAAAAAGTTCTACACGCTTTCATGACCAAACCTCCTGAGTGGGTATCAGCCATAATTTAAAGAAAAAAACAAATAGATATTCTGGCTACGGTATAAATTACTAAGTGTCAATATCCTACACCGAAAAATGTTGAGAAGCATAAATGATCTAGTTTTCGTTTTACGCTCACAGTTTTCGTCCGACTTCAGTGAAGCGTTAGTAGCTATTTCATTGCGATATTGATATGCTGCGCAGACAGCTTATGTTATAAAGGAGTACATGTGCATAAAAGCAAAATACATATTACTAAACACATTTACAAACCATTGCGAAGCCTGCGTCTACCTTTAATTTAACTTTAAAAGTTAATAGTTCTAGCTTTTATTACCACTGCAAAGTCAAACATACAAACTCACTAGTAAAGGTTCATGTCACGTTAAGCACTCTATACAACGCGTACTTTTAGGATACGAGCAAAGAAGCAAGTGACACACGACAGCAAACACTCACAGTAGGTTTCTCGCTCCCAGGTTACGGCGGGGAGAGGGTAGCCATCTGCCCAGCAGTCCATGCGCACGCTGTGTCCTAGCAGCACTGAGGCATCCGTAGGTTCGATCACCCATTGCGGCGGCACTGCGTATAATGGTAGACGTGTCCACTTTTTCTGGGAAGCACGAACACATATGGAAGACCACTGGGTTAGTCTACTGTTATATGCCATCGCTTTACCGAGTCAAAGTATCAGAAGGCTTTTCAAATCAGTCTTATTGTTTTAGAACCAGTGGTGCAGCTATTGTCAGAGCACCCTGTCTCTGTTACGTCAAGAGGCCTACCTGCAGTATTGTTGCGTTAGAGTTCGCGTATAATATGGTGACTAGAACAAATGTAGCGTGACTCAGACTAAGGCGCGTTTTCGAAGTGCAACTTAATGTTGCTGGTCTCATCATCAAAAATGAGTTTTCTCTGTGTGATATAGCTGCGCATAAGTGCAGAAGCCATTTCGTCTCACTTATGGCGTCTGATTTGTTGTTGTTTTTTCTATTGCATCCTTGTTTCCTTTCTCGTAACGTTTCCTTTCTTACGACAGTATTGGATGACATCGCGAGGCTTGGTACATGAGAAGGCCCGTTGAAGCGTAAATAATTTCAACTGTAAGTCGGCGCCTGTCCGTATTCCGTGAGTTTTCGTTTAAATGAGACTGTCTTTCTCTGATCGTGTACCAGCTTCCCCAAGTACAGCTAATGCTCGTACGGTGAATTTCTTTATTTGCGAAATATACCTGCTGCTGAGTGTCAGCTAGGGGGCCGAGGAGTGTTGTTGCATCTCGCATGCGATTTCGTTTTTGTCGTTTTTAATGTGCAACGCTGCCTGGACACTGCTCGTGCTTAGTAAACTAGGATTTATCCCGTTGCAAGGCTTCACTGGACACCAATGTCAACGCACTGACTGCACTTTTTCTAGAGAGAGAGAGAGAGAGAGAGAGAGAGAAACAACTTTATTTAAGTGAAAAAAATTCATAGAGGAATGGCGGTCAGGCCGTGCCTGGCCGCCACCTCCTCAGCTTGTATGGCCCGGAGCTGTACATCTAGTCTCATGTAGCGGAGTGGACTTTCCCACGCCTCGGACGAGGGAGTGGTCAAGAGGTCAGGCGGGGGTGCATCGTCACTGCAGTCCTATAGTAAATCAGAGAGGGAGGTGACGGAGCCAGAGTTTGAGCAATGCAGATTAAGCTAATTGGCCGGTGTAAATGTGTGCGTATACCCGCGGGCACGGAAACGAGTTCTTTTGGAGACGGCGTTATCTTATTTCTTGTGGTTTCGTGAGTTTGGGATGCGGCAGTGGGATCCGGCGGTTCAAAACGCGAGGTGATAGCGCTTACCAATTTCTTGGTAGGATATGAGGGGCTTGCCGATGTTCTCTGCGTTCGTGGCAGGGCCCACCGCTCGGTTGACAAATTCTCGAGCTTGTCGAAAGGCGGCCTTGTGCCCCAGGTTTCCCGCGGGCGCCGCGTCCCAGACGAGATACATGCGAGTCGGATCCTCGTCATCGAGGTAGGCGAGGGACTGAATGAGCCGTAAGGTACCGGGAACAACATTACCGTGAGCAAAATGGGTTATAGCGGTTTTCGAGTCGCTGAAGATCGTAGTGAACCCGGAGGACACCGCGAAAGCTATGGCCGCTTCCTCGGCTTCGGTGGGGTGGAGGGCACGGACGGAGCAAGCTACTTAAAAGGTTGAGTTGGTGTTGAGGGGGGTGCGAGCAGTCACTACGCTAAGTGCGTACTCGCTAAGTTTAGAGGGGTTGCGGGCCGCATCCACGTAGGCCACATCGGCCCTAAGGCGTAGTTGTCGTGTAAGGCTTGGGCTCGTGCTCGCAGTCTACCTTCGTGGTGTCCTGCAATAATGCTTTGGCAGTGGTTTGATGGAAAAACGACAACGTAAACACACAGGTATAGAGGTCAGGTCTGAGCCTGACGGCAAGGCGGCGAGTGCTATGCGAGCGCGTATCCTATGGCGGGTCTGGCTCAGAATCTGTGTTGTGCGGTGCGCTATGATGAGTTAGTCGACAGTGTTGTGGATGCCCATGCTGAGGAGATGCGACGTAGACGCCGTACGAATGAGACCGAGATCCGTCATGTACTCTTTGCGAATGTCAGTCCAGTTTTTCCTGTTGTATCCCAGCACGTGCAGGGATGGTAGTGCGTATGTGAGACGAGATATGACGAAGGTGTGGATAAGCTGGAGTAGCTCTTTTTCTTTTATGCCTTGCTTTCGAGCGGACACGCGAGCAGTGAGGCGGTTCGTTTTACTGACGGCAACGATGAGGCATATCAGTGCCATGGTGTTCTGTTGATTTTAATGAACGAATAGGCTTGAAATGCGCATTTGGTCAACTTGTGGTACTGCTACACCGTTGACATAGACGTGGGTGGCAGGTTGCGGAGGGTACTCGTTTAGATGGCTGTCAGGAGGGCGGAGCAGCAAGATCTCCGACTTGCTCTCCGAGTACGTGAGGCCCACCTGCGTTGCGTGGCCAACGACGGCGTCAGCCGCACGATAGAGAGTCTCCATTACCTGGTCGTCTAAACCCGTAGTTTCACAGCATGACGTCGTCTGCATAAATGATATGACGTATGCCCGGGATGTCATCGAGTAAATAAAGCGGCGTGCGCATAGCGAGGTTAACTAGAAATTGAGACAAAAGTGCTCCTTGAGGGGTGCCTTTGGCTCCGAGTGTGGGGTGTTTAGAGGTGAAGCCACTGGCTTACGATAATTCAACGGTACGGCTAGAAAGGAAATCTCGTAGTTATACGTATGTTCACCCGGGTGAACGTCTGCAAGGTTTGATGCGATGGCTTCTTGTCGCACCAAGACAAATGCCTTATGAAAATCTGAACCAAGCAGGGTGCGAGTACCGGCCTTCGGTGGGGTATGACGCAGGTCGTGGTTTATTTGCACAGGAGCGTCTTGCGTCGATTGGTGGGCACGGAAGCGACGCATCTTGGTAGGGAGAAGGTCGTTTTCTTCAGCGTAGGTCTGAAAACAGGCAAGGACAACATGTTATATTAGCTTACCAGTGCAAGGTGTCAGCTACATGGTACGTAGGTTGGCGATGTCTATCTTATTGCCCGGTTTGGGGATGAATATGAGCCTCACATGTCTTTACCCTTCTGGTATGAGGACCGAGTTCCAGCACTTGTTAGTGCACTGCGTGAGCGCAGTCACTGATTTCACGTCGAGATTTCGGAGGGACTTGATGCTACGCCGTCAGGACCAGGCTTCCGACGTTGTGCGAAGTTTGAGCATTGCGGTGTAGATTTTCGCCTCCGTAATATCTCCGTCCACTTGGGGGTTCGGTTAGCCGATGTACGCGGAAAAACACTCCGGCGGTGCGTTCGGCTGGGCGAAGTTCACTCACGTAATGAAGAGCCACCTCTGCGAGCAGCTCAGTGTTTGTGCAGGGGTAACGATGTAGGAGCTGGTGAAGCTGTTTTTGCGCAGACGACTTGGATGCGCAGGGATTGAGCAAGTGTCGTAGTTTACTTTTTCTAGGTATTGAGCTGTAAACTTGATTCAAAGGCTCACCGGAATACTGCGTAATAAAAAAAAAAGCAGCGGCCCACGCGGCACGTGCGCCACGCTCGAGGAAGAGCACGTGAAACGAGCAGGACGCCAGTGGCTGGTGGGACGTGGCAAACGAGCACGCCGCTCGTGGTACACCTAGCAACATGGCCGGAGGTGAATAGCTAGCGCATTCACGGAAATGCAGAAGAATAGCTCATGTAAAAATGAGCATGAATCAAGATGAAAACATGGCAGGTACTCCAAGAACAGCATCACACTAGACGTTCGAACAATTATTAGAAAAATGACAGGTAACATTGAGTGACTGCAAGCTGGCCGTAATGGCAGGTCAGCCAAAGAAGACAACGATTAAGTCAGCCGAACAAAGAGCTTCACAACTTTTTAACAGAAACAACATCTAAACTAAAGCGTCAGCGCAGTACTAGGATGCGACCCGTTCCGACTGATAACTTCAAAGCATTATTTCACCCACAGGCAACACTTCACCTTTCGAAGCGAACACCTATTGAGGTGACACATGCCATATATAGGAAAAACCAGTAGCTTGACCCTGTTGGACTTCCACGATGATGTAGAGGTGCACGTAGAGAAGGTTGAGAATGTCATCATAGCAAGCACAGCAAGCACTGCACGAGCCTCAAAACTGCGAAGCATAAACGCTACACAACCCGGAGGAGTCATATACCAAGTCAATCCACACGTTCGACACCCAGGCTATGAGTGCCGTTGAGTGATCTACGGCCTCGAGTCGGGCACAAACTCTGTGAAGATCGTGGAAGGACTTCGTGTAAACGCAAGATACAGCGTTCTTGGCGCACGCATGCTCGGATCCTGCGCAGCCCTACCCATCACTTTCGACGGACAGAACGTCCATTTTCACGTAACCTACCTGAGTGGGGACTACAGATGGAAGCCGTACCACAAGTCAGTGCAGCATTGCAGAACGTGTGGCAACATCGGAGGCAACTGCCCCCTTCGTAAAGCCAACTTCTGCTACAAATGCCGCAGCCAAGGGGACGCAGACGCCCTTGACTTTCAGGCAAAGTGCAAGAATTGTGGCGAAGACCACTAGACAGCCGGCAAGGAATGTAAGGAGAAACTCCGCAACAATCCACCTCCATATCAAGTTAGGCGACCGCAGCTTGATAATACTCATGCCGGAGACCATCACAGAAGTTCTAGCACTGGTGAGTTCCCCGGAATAGCCGCCACTTAAGACAGCTCTCAGGCCCCCTCACTTCACCAGAGTCCCAGCCGAAGCCGCTTTCATTAAATAAAAAAAGTCGCGCTCTGCATTTCGCACGCCGTCGTAGTCTCGATCCACTAAGTGAATTACGCCGCCGCGGCGCGTGGAAGCAACGGCTCCTGTTCACAAAACACCGCGAGCGCCTCAGACGTCTCTTCAGCTAAGATAGTGGTACCCGCTAGCTACAAATTGAAGTTCGAGAACTACCGGGGACGGTACGACTACGAACGCCAGGCGAAAGGCGGAACGCCGTAAGTTCAGGACAGAATTTGAAGACAAGTATAGGCAGCCATAATGAAGCG